GGTTTCCTGCCCACCCCCAAGTTCAGAGGTTGCAAAGCAGGAGAGAAGCCCTCCAGCTCAGTCATTGGGAACATCTGGCATTTTCTCCCCACTCCCCAAACTGCTGCCCTTGAGTCTCCAAGAACCCTATGGACAGTTCCCTTTGCTGTCCCCCACCCAGCCAGGCCTCCATGTCTCCCAGCAGCTCCTTTGCTGAACCCAGCAGTGACAGACCTCAAAGCCATTTATTCCCCACCCTGTCCCTTGCCCCAATGCTCTCCCCAGTTCAGGTGCCCCCTCAAACTCTCCCTCAGCAGTAGGGAAGAGAATAGTAAAAGTCTATTGCAGCAATAAAAGGCATTAACCATCTGAACACTTGTCCACAGATCCCAGCAGCCATCTATGCTTAAGCAGGAAATATTGTTTAATGCCGATGGTAATGAGTGAATCAAATTTTGAAAATTAAACCAGAATTTGAGCATTAGCAGCAGGGTGCTGGCATTTGCAAGTAAAGTGGCACTTCTGCCACACTCAGGAACCCACTCACCCCACACAAGTAGCGAGATGCTCCCTGCATGTCTGGGGGCCCCTGAGATATCCCCCATATTCTAAACCTGCAATTGAGTCTTCCTTCTCTGTTTTCTGGGCTTTCCTTTTCAAATGTAAATCCTTCCAGCCTTAGCCCCATCTGCCCTGCTATCATGGGTGAGTAACCATAGGAGTCTATCCCCCTCACGGAGAGACTGGAAAAAGCATGAGACTCTGGTAACCAGATTACACTACCTTTTCATAAGCATCTGTGGTTTCCTGGGAGGTGTCACTCAATGCTTTTTATAGGTTGGGAAACGGAAGGTTACGAGTTATGAAGCACCATTGAAAAAGGAAACCCAAAAGGGCCCCCAGGACTCATCTCAGACTCTTTAGCTAATGCTTTCCTGTGCCTAGCTCTGAGCTCAGCCCTGGGAGTTGGAATGTGGGCATAATGCAGGCCCCTGCCCTAAGCTGGAGTCTGTTTAGGGGAGGATACTGGGCTCCAGGCGCTAGCCTCCACTTGCTCACAACAAGTTTGGGCCCCATGTGGTCTCAGTGACATGCCACCCAGGGGCTTTTTAAGGCTCTTCTCCACCTTGGCTCTGAGTTCTCTCCTGGCCTCACCTCCCTTCACTGCACAGCCCAGTTCCACCTCCCTGAACATCTCGGAAGAGCAGCGGTACCCCATAACCCAACTGTGGGAGGCAAGGGGCTCAAGACTGAGGGTTCATGAGGCAGGGTGAGAGGACCATAGTCTCCCCACCACCCAGGGACACTGCATCACTCAGGTAGGCAGGCTGTGGCCAAGGGCTGCTCAGTCTATCCCAGGAGCCTGAGGTCTGCTTATGTTAGAGGAGGTGGGAACTGGCTGGGGAAACTGAGACATTCGCTGAGATTCGGCATCTGATCCAAAACACCAGCCACATGGTACCATTGGTCATCCAAGACAACTTGGGGATGGTGCCTGGGGAAAGTGACCAAGAGGGGACAGGGGGAGGTCGTTCATCTGGTCAGCCACATCCTGAATCTGGTCCAGCCTGTTCTTCAATTGCCTGCCCCGCACCACATGACCACTCCCCCTCTATGACATATGGCTGGGATTGCCCTCTTGTCCAAATCAGAGCAGGACAAACCAAGGTGCATACAGTACTCCATTTCCTCTTGCTCCTGGACAGAGAACCCCAAGTACCCATCATCGCCATTGTCATTACTGCTGGACGGGGTCTGTTCCCACAGCATCTCTTGGGAGCCTCCCAACTACTGCCTGAGGTGCGCCTAATCATTCCCCTTTTAAAGACCTAAAAACCAAGGTAGGGAGCAGTTCAAGGCACGGGAGCTGGGATGAGGCTAGTGGGTGGGGCTGGAAGGAGATACACCCTCGGTCTCAGAGTCCTTCTCACCTCTGGTCTGAAAGACAAGTGTTAGGATCACTCAGCCAGTACGGAAGCCACGGGCAATGAGGAGGGCGCAGAGTGAGCCTGCTTGAGGATCCTAGAAACAAATGTTTGTGTTGGGTGGGGTCACCCGAGAACACAAAGAGGAAGTGAATATGGAGAGGTTCCTTGGTTTCTTGCAGCGTTCCAAAAAGGTAAGGCTGGTTGTAGTTTCTCTGGGGAAATCCAGACGGGTAGGAGAGAGGGCCCCTTAAATGTCTAAAAAGTCCTCCAGAAAGAAGGGCTCAGGCCTAGGACTAGAATTGCGAACTCTAAGGGGAGATTTCAGGGGAGGGGAAGAAAAAAATAGGGGGATAAAACTGGCAAAAGGGAAGTGGCTGGATGGAAAGACATGTGCAGATGAATTTTAACACAATCATAAGCTGTCATAATGACCATTAAGGAATATATTCAGATGCCAGGAGAGAAGCTCTGCTGCTGTCCCAGCATTTCTGTCAGGCCCAGACACAGGAGGGGCTTTCTCTTCCATTTCTTTTTCCTTCCCAGGGAGGAGATGGAAATTTTTAAGCAGGAGGGCCAGGGATTAGCAGGGGATGGGGTTTCACTACTTTGTCTTTCACGAATTCCCATTTAATTGGAGCCTTTCAAGGGTGCTGGGGGTTGGGGGAAGCCCTGTGCCAGGCCTGGAGAGCAGAGTTTCAATGACTCCTCTGAAGGCTTGATAAGCTCCAGGTTCATTTTATATGAAATGTTGTGGCGGCTTCTGGTAGTTGAACATAAGCCCCCGCGCTTCTCTCCAATGTCTCTGCCATTTTATCTCCCTTTGCTCCTAACCCACCTCCTCCCTGCCCTCCTCAGCCCACCCCCTCCACTCTCTCTCCCTTCCTGCCTCTTGGTTTCCAGTCCCTGCTCCCCTGCAACCCAGAGCTTGTAGTTGGTGAGCCCTGGATGGGGTGGTAGTGTGCCCAGCTCTGCCATGGTCCAAGAAGCCAGGTCATGCTGGCCAGGCTGGAGCAGGTGGTGGGGCTGGGGCTCCTGCAGGCCCCAGAGCTTTGGCTCAAGTCCACCAGTGGTGGAGGACGAAACTGGTGTGCCCTGACCTGGAACTGGTAACAAGAACTTGCAGTAATACCCTGCAGGATATGAAAAGAGCTAGGGCCTAGGGTCACTTCATCACTCAGAACATTCCCAGTGCAGAGAGTGCTTTGGGCAGAGGTCAGGGCTTCCCAAAGAGGAAGACTCTGGGGTGGCTTGTGAAAGAGTTCAGGGGCCTGAAGATTTCCTCTGCTTCGCTCCAGATCCCAGGACAGCCCCTCAGCTCTATGTGAACTCTCCAGGCACTCTGGGCAAATGGGGCTCTCTGGGCAGAGGGCCATGGTCGTGGCGCACATGAGCACAGGGCTATCTGCAGGTGGAGGTGTGCCTCTCTGCAGCCTTGGCTGTGCCCACGTGTGCATGCCAGTCACTCAGGAGTCTGCTAATATCTAGTGAGTGCCTGCTGAGTGCTACCACCATGGGGATCCTGTTCCTGCTACTATGGCTGCATAACAATTTAGCCCCAAACTGAGTGGTATGAAACAACCACTTATTAGGCTTAGGGATTTTTGTGGGTCAGGAATTCAGACAGGGCACAGCATGGAAGCTCTGACTCTGCTCCGTGATGTCTGGACCTCAGCTGGAAGACTTAAAGCCTGGGGCTAGAGTCATCTGTGGGCTCATTCACTCCCATGTCTGTTCATTGATGTTGGCTGTCAGTGGGGGGTCTTGGTTCCTTTCCATGGAACTCTTGGTATGGGGTGGTTGGGGGTTCTTCACAGCATGGCGCTGGCTTCCACAGACCACAGGTCCCAAAAAAGAGAGCCAAGTAGTAGCTGATCCTTTTTGTGACCTAGTCTGGGAAGTCAGCTGGCATCACTGCTGTCATTCTTTATTGGTTAGAGCAGGCGCAAGCCTTGCCCATATTCAAGGGGAGGAAACATAGACTCCCGCCTCTCAGTGGGAGCAGCGAAAGTCATATTGCAGTAAGTTTGTGGGATGGTAAATCTCTTTTGCAGATCTACACAGCCCAGTGTGATCCCAGTCACCCTAAGCACACAGCCGAGTGGTGTCCACAAATGACTTGGTACTCAACACAGATAGGGCCAGAGAAACTAGTGAGGGAACCCAGCTTTCAGGAACAGGCTCTCCAAAAGTGCCCAGGCCTGAATTTTGCAGCATGCACAAATGGGAAAGGCCAGGCCAAGGCAGGGGCACCAGGCGAAGGTAAATGGATATGGCATAGAGCATTATTTCCTTCCTTCCATTACTCTGTCCTTAGGGTCTGCTTTGTGCCAGGTATGGTGCTCCAGCAGAGGCCTGGTCTCTGACCCCAGGGAGCATACTTGGGGGTGGAAGGGGCGACAGAGAGCTGGACAGAAACCAACCACACAGGCAAAGCAGTTAATGACTGTCTTTTGAAATATGGGACATGAGAGTGAGGGGCTGACAGAATAAAGGAGAGAGGGAAGGAGGGGCCTTGATGAGGAAACAGTATTTAAAGAGAGAGAGACTTAGAAAGAGAAGATTAGGCCTTGTGATGTAGAGGGCACGCCAAGCAGGGGAAACAGCATATGCACAGGCCTGCGGCAGTCTTGCCAGTTAAGAGCTAATGTTGGCATCTGTGGGTGAAGGTGACTAAGACAGATAGTGTCTGTCTAAAAGGAAGGGGTAAGAGAACACGGGGCTGCCCACACTTGTGTGCCCTAGGTGGGCAGCCAGGCCAGAGGCCTTGCTCCCTCCGTGGGCAGCCCACCCCTAGGCAGCAGGGGATGGAGTCGCTGCAGTTTAGCTCTGCTTGGTCCCACCCGCTCCTCCCTCACTTCCCGCTCTGGCTGTGCCCCTCCACCCCCAGCTCCCTCCCTGCGTCAACCTCACCTTTTAGATACGCCCCCCCCCGCCCTCTCCCCACTCCCCTCCCCCTGGCTGAGCGCCGCAGCTCCTGCCCAGCTCCTTCCTCTTCTTCCCACCCTTCGCCTCCAGCGTGCCCATCGCCCCCCGGGCCCGCCCCCGCGTTGCCCGGCCCCTAGCCCGGGTAAGCATCTCCTAATTTTGTTCCAGAAGATAGAAAACTTTTCGTGGGCATGCTCAACAAGCAGCAGTCGGAAGACGACGTGCGCCGCCTCTTCGAGGCCTTCGGGAACATTGAGGAGTGCACCATCCTGCGTGGGCCCGACGGCAACAGCAAGGGTGCGAGGGGCCCGGGGCAGCGGAGTGGGCGTGGCGTGGCGGGGACGTGGCTTCGCAGGGGCGCCGGCCGTCGGCCTGACCAGTAGCGGAGTCCAGAACTGCCCGAGCTGGCCGCGACCAGCGAGCCAGGGAAGGATGCCTGGAAGGAAGCAGGCGTCTCGCCCGGGGTTATGGAGAGGCCGCGAGCCAAGGCCAGACTGGGACAGGGAGACTTGAGGGTGCTTTTCAGTCTCGAACCCGTCCAGTACTTTCTCTGCCCTTGTGTGGCCCTCTCTGTGTTTCTCCGTGTCTTTGTCAGTATGTGCCTCGCTCATTTTTCTTTCATCTGGGACGGACTCTCTCCCCTCCGTCCCTCCTGTGTCCCGCCGCAGCGCTCGTGCGCTTCACTAGCTTTCCTCTGGGCCCCCGCTCCGCGGCTCAGCCTCTCCCGTCCCTCTAGGGTGCGCCTTCGTGAAGTACTCCTCCCACGCCGAGGCGCAGGCCGCAATCAACGCTCTGCACGGCAGCCAGACCATGCCGGTGAGTGGGGCCACTCCTGGATGGGGGCGGGATGGGAGCGCCGGGACCGAGACTACGCGCAGAGCCCCGCCCGCCCTCCAGCGCTGTGCACATGGTGTCAAGCGCGTGCTGCTCTCATAGTCTTGCCAAGAGCCAGGGATGCCATACCATTATCCCCATTTCTTAGATGAGGACATGGAGGCCCAAAGGTGAAGGAACTGGCCCAAGGTCCCCTAGATAGAAAAGCACCGCAGTGGGGTTAAGTTCTCAGACCCTTGGCCCAGCGCAGAAGCCCCTGCCCACCCCCCACCCCCGGTAGTGCCCCCCAGAGAGGAGTGGGTGGGCCCAGGCCAGGGGCAAGGACAGCTGGGAGCGAGATGGCTGCGGTAGGTGGGCGGGCCTCACACGCAGTACCGGCTGCAGGGAGCCTCATCCAGTCTGGTGGTCAAGTTCGCGGACACCGACAAGGAGCGCACGATGCGGCGAATGCAGCAGATGGCCGGCCAGATGGGCATGTTCAATCCCATGGCCATCCCGTTTGGGGCTTACGGCGCCTACGCACAGGCAGTAAGTGGGGGCCTAGCCAGGGGAATTGCTAGCCAGGGAGCACGGGGGAGTGGGCAGTCGTTCTCCAGCTCACCCTGCTCAGAGCCCCGCAGCAGGGAAAGCTCATGATGCTGAGGGGCTACCCGCTCCTGCCCTGGAGACTGAGCAGTGAGGAGTGAACCCAGGTAGTCGGAGGCCAGAGGAGGTCCAATCCAGGGTGCTGCCAGGAGGCGGATTGTTGTTCTGGTTCTTAAGGGGAGGAGCTTGGAAGAAGAATTCTTCCTCCACTAGTTGTATCATTCCAAGCTCCGTTTGAAGTGGGGAGAGAGGTGTAGGTGTTCTGCCATGACCGTCCCACCCTGCCCCCACTCATGGAAAGCTCTCCCCAGGTCTTCGGGTCATTCCTGCTGGGGTCTTTTGAAATGCCCCAAGGCCCTTCACACCCACATTTAACCCTTCAGTACCCCCAGACCCTGCCTTATGCTGTTGGCTCATCAATTTCTTTCTTCTACACTGGGGCCGATTCTGCCAGCCTCCCAAACTTGTAACCACAACTGCACATGGGTCGCACTGAAGTAGGACAGGGTTACAGTTCTAAAAATGCAAGCTCACCTCACTTTTTCAGCAGTGCCCAAAGTTGGCCAGTTTTAACAGCCTCCCAGTCCCCACTCACCTTTGTGAAAACATCGAAGTTTCCTGGGGTTCTATTCATGAATCTCCTCGTGCTTCTACCCAAGAGACTCCAAGTTTGGACCATTTTGGACAGAAATCCGTGTCACATTAGTTCTGCAGAGGCTCGTCCACGTGTCTCTAGAGCTTTGCATATCACAGCTCCATGAAAGGTCTTTTGTGGGGCTGACCAGCACCCATGGAGCCAGTTCTATTCCCCGACCCTGTATAACTTTGGAGTCCTAAAGACCCTACCATTACTTTTGAATGCAGTTCTCTTTCATGGGGTGGTATGTAATAGCCACTGAGAACTAGGGCAAGTATGGAGAGGGGTGTCAGGGCTCTCTGGGGGGTGGGGAGAATGTGTCTGAGCTCTTGGGGGTTCAGGAATTGGGAGGCTTGTCACTGGGAGCTGAGTCCCTGGTGGGGAGGGCTGCCCCCCTGGAATTGCATGATATTTTTTCCATTCCCTCTGCCCCAGCTGATGCAGCAGCAAGCAGCACTAATGGCATCAGTAGCTCAGGGCGGTTACCTGAACCCCATGGCTGCCTTCGCCGCTGCCCAGATGCAGCAGATGGCGGCCCTCAACATGAATGGCCTGGCAGCTGCACCCATGACCCCAACCTCAGGTGAGTGGGCAGGTGCTAATGCAGGGCCTAGCCAAAAGGAGAACAGCTCATCCCAAGCTGAGATTTTGGCTACCAATGGGCCATCCTGTGGCAAGAACACATGGTGTCTGGGCCCAAGCAGACTTCATCCTCCAGCACTTTGTCTCAAAAAAGTTCTCTGGGGACCTAAGGGAAGATGGAATGTTGGCCCCATGCTGTCAGTGATAAAATTTCAGGGTGGTAAGAATTTCCCTCAAGTTATTTAGCCATGTCAAGAAGCAGTTCATCTTGATTATTAATATCTGGAAAGAAATTGAATGAAAATATCTCCCTTTGAGGTCTTAGGGGAGAAGAGCCCTGCAGCATTATATGGCTTTGTTTGGTCCCTGGCCCAAGCACAGAAGGAGTCTCATTTTCCCATTTCCCTTTAGTCCAACCTGGACTTACTGGGTGTTTCCACAGCACCTACTCAACTGGCAAGAGAAGACCTCAGGAGTTCTTTTAAAGGATGTGGGGTTGGAAACAGCCCCACTCCCAGGCATGTTTTTAGTTGGATCTTGGCTATTGTCCAGTTCAGTGATTCTCAACTGGGGCAGTTTGTCACCACACCCCCCAACTCCCAGGACGTCTGGCAATATCCTGAGACATTTTTGCCTGTCACAACTGGTGGGGAGTGTGGAGAGGGGAGCTACTGTCATCTAGCAGGCAGAGGCCAGGATGCTGCTGAACAGCTTACAGTGCACAGGATGGCCCTTCCCACCCCGAAGGGAATGCCTGGCGCCAAATGTTTATAGTGTCGAACTTGAGAAACCCTTACCTAGTTCCAAGGGCTGGCCCAATACCCCAGGATCTCATTCAGTCAGCTGTCTTGGCTCTCTGCACCTAGGCCATACCTGCAGCCTTCCTGACATCCAGGAACTTTCCCAGCTAAAGGCTATAAATGGTGGTGCCTTTTCTAGGCCCAACTATCCATGAAACGACCCTGATTCCTACATGAAGAGGAAGACTCTCTCCAGACCCCAGTATAGTCACCATGCCACCATTCCATCCTTGGGGTCTACCCACCTGGCATAGGGAGGGCACAGGGTATTATCAGCTGACCTCAACTTTACCCTCGCCACAGTTGGCCACCATTGTCCCAACTGGAGGAAACCAAGATGGATGCTTTCTGCATGAACAGTCCTGAGCCTGGACTCAACAAACGCTTCATCCCCTCAGGGGAAGGGAACGCCAGAATTAAGACATTCTCCACCTAAATAGCAAAACTCTTTTGAGGGGAGGCAAATCAGCCCCTCAGTTATCCAAGAGAGCAGAGCCAGCAGCTTAGAAGCCTCTTGGTGGCTAAACAGGACTAGCCCATTGTGACTTAGCCAGGGTGAGCAAGAGCCACTGAAAAATACTAAAGGAAGACCAAGTGTGGTCAAGACAGGGACACTGAGAATAGTCTGTGCTGCAGGTCCGAAGTCAAGCAGTCAGTGGTCAGGGGCATCTTCATTGGGTAGGTGGAAGTTGAATTCTGCCATGAAGGATGGATACAGTTGACATGCGTGGAGTCACTCCATGCACAGAAATCACCCAGGGTGTAATTCACAGATAGGACTGAGTTAGTGGATGATTGTGGGCCTGTCCCAGGCCCCTGCAGCCAGTGGGGTCGAGCTGTATGGACTGGTCTTCCTCACTCTTGTTCTGCTTGCCTCCCCTCCACCTGTACCTCTGTACCCTTCGAAGCAGGTGGCAGCACCCCTCCGGGCATTACTGCACCAGCCGTGCCTAGCATCCCATCCCCCATTGGGGTGAATGGCTTCACCGGCCTCCCCCCACAGGCCAATGGGCAACCTGCTGCGGAGGCTGTGTTTGCCAATGGCATCCACCCCTACCCAGGTAAGCACACCTGGTAGCCCTTACTTCCCCGTGCGGCACATTCCTCATCCATTCTTTCTGCCCTTGCTGTTATAATAGGGAATGCATGGCTCTTGACCATTGTCCAGTCCTTGGTGGAACCCTAAATGTGAGGGAGAACTGGCCTCCTGCCCTCCTACAGGAAGCCTCTGGTGGGAGAGGAGACCAAATTCCTATCCTTGGAGAGGTATCAATATGATGGATGAGAAAGAACCCTACTGCTGGGGCTTCCTTAGGGGAGAAAAGAGGATAGATGGAATTGTAAAATCAAAGAGGCTAGTAACTACAAATTAATTGAGAGTAAATTTGACCCATAAGAAGTGATAGGATAGAAACTAAAATAATCATATTTAGTGTTAAGTAGGAAAAAACTCTTGGGAAGGAAGTGGAGATATATAGATGGCAATCTGGCTAGTATATACCAGTTTGGTACATACTAGTGCACACATAAATCCTGATCAGCTCTTCGGACAGCACATCAGAACCTCGGACAGCTCCCAAGTCGCCCTTTCATGAGTTCTGGCACACAAAAACATCCAGAAGGCATGTTCCTAATTAACTTTGTTCCTCTCAAACTTAACTGTTCTTCCAAGGTGACTTGAAGTAACTCCTCTCTCCGATCTGGAGAATGGACTGGCATTAGAGCAGGGAAGTAGGGCAAGCATAGACTAGCAAGGGGCTGTGTAACAGAGATGTGAACAGTGCTGTCCTCCTTCCTGGAGGGCAGATGATGAGGTTACAGAGTCCCTATAAGTAACAGTAAGCACCTAGTCTGTGCTAGAGGAAAGAAGGGCCCAGAAGAAGGGCAAGACATGGGCCTGTCCCCTGGGAGGTCAGAGTCCCATCCAGAACATGACATACATCAACAGAATCATGAGACAATAAGACAGAGTTTGATCAAGAGTGAATGTTCTCCAGCTTGAAGTGCTAAAGAATTCAAAGGAAGGGAGAGTTCTTCAGGCTTAAGAAGCTCAACAGAGCTTCCTAAGGCAGTGGCTCCAATTGAGTTTAACAGATGGCTAGGAGTTGGAGAGGTGAGGATGAACAAGGACTATGCTCTTGTGGAGGGGAATGTCCTGGAGGTCCAGAGGAGAACCACCAGCCTGGTGGGAGCAGGGGGGTGGTGAGGACATTGACCCAACTACTGCAGAGATGGGCAGCCTCAGGTAGACCAGCATAGAGATGGAGGTCCCAAAGTAGTGCTCCTCACTCAGGTTGTCCATCAGGATCCATGGTGTGGCTTTGTAAAGCCACAGAAGTCCAGAAATTCTGATTTCAGTGCCTGGGGTGAGGCCCAGACATCCAGAGAATATAAAAGTTCCACCACCAGCAGAGTGCAAGGTCACGCTGCTAGAACGAAATGGAAGAGAATCTCCTGACTTTGAACTTGGAGTTGTCCTTGATTGCATCCCATTGTGTGACCCCTCAGTGCATAAAGAAGAGGCCAGAGAAGCTCAGAGAGTGAACTGACAGGGCTTGGAGGATCAGGGTATTGTTTAAGGGTGAAACTCCAGTTTGTCAAGGTAGGTAGGGGAGGCACCACCCACTTCGAGGTGGGAGAGAGCCCACTGCACTCAGGCTCCTGGCTCCTCCCTGCTCAGGCTCACGGGCTGGGAGATCCAGTCCCCAGCACATCTGGGTGGTTTCATTTCCCCCTCCTCCCTGCCCACAAGCCCATCTGGATCTCTGGATTTTGACAAACCTGCTTCTTTCCCACCCACACCAGCATCTGTGAGCTATTTCCCTCATGGAATTTGGAAATGTTTCTCTCCCCCATTTGTAACAATCTGCCATACCCCATAAACAAGTCCCTGCCAGAGCAGGAGGGAGGGACAGAGAGAAGGAAAGGAGAAAAGGAGTACATTGAAAAAATTAATTTACCATCTTTAAATGCAGAGTTTGGAGCCACTGTAATGAGTGAGATCCTTCAAAGTGTTCACTCTTTGGCAGTTACTAATGAGGTCATTAAGTGGAGACGTGGAGAGGGGTCTTGGACATGCTTTTCCCACTGACTAGCCCCAGGTAGCTTCTCTGTTCTCCCGTCTTGTTCACCAAGATCATATTGGAAGCACACAGTATGGCCTTCCCTGCTGCATAACAGTCCTGAAAGGGCAGCCCTCACAGATGTTTAGAACTGGTCATTCTTTCCTTGTCGCAGCATTTGTCAAGTTTAGTATTTGCTGTGATCCTGGCACTGTGCTGGGGGAGCTGCCATCTAAGTTGCTCAAGTTATACTTTGCACAGGACACCAAACTGTGCCCAGAGGAAGAGACACCTTTTTCTCTTTTGAGGTACTGTGTGGTTGAGCAGTTGGGAAGAGGAAGAGGACAAGCTAGATATGGCCCTCCCCATAGAGAGCCATACTTAGGAGGCTGGTGGACGGATCAGGCAGAGGGAGCAGGGGCAGGAGGAGGCCACTCCAGTGAGCATCACCACCTCACTGCTGGGAGCTCCTGGCTCCTGTCTCTGCTGTGGGGGAAATGGAGGGTAGGGCTTTGTCCTGGGACAATCCCAGGCAGGAGGTGCCTGCATCCTGACCCTTCTTCAGCATCCCTCTCTGAGCAGTGACCTCTGGCCCCAGCTTTCCTGCTGCCGTCCGTGTTGTCTCTAAGGCCCTCTGCCCAGGATTTTTCCTTGGCTCTCCTGAAGCCCAGGTGCTACCGTACTTCTGCTATGTTACTAAGAAGTTCAGAGACAACAGCTCAAAAGGGAAGTTTAGGAATTCTTCCTGGTCTGCAGGTCCCAAAGCTTAGCACTACCAGTTGGCTTGGCTGGCCTGGGACTTCAGGTAAATAAGCCCAGATGGCTTTCTTTCTGCCTCCCTGTGTGAACCAGTTTTCCCCAAACATACTGAGGCTGTATCTGTCACCACCCACCTGCCTGGGCCCCCAAGGCCAGCCCACTCCCATGTCAGTCACTGGCCTTGGTCACCAAAGGCAGTGCCCACCAGTGGTCCATGCTCCAGGATTTTGCCCACAGCTTCTGCAGATACAGAGGCACCAGAAGTGAGCCAAGCCTTTTCCCCAGTCTGGCTTCCCCAGGTTGCTTCCCAAAGTATCAGCCCAAAGGGCCCCTCCTCACACTGGGCAGTGGATATCCCAGAGTCATGAGATCAGGTGGGAGGAAGATCATTGGTCTTCTGGTTCTTCAGTTTCTGTAGACACCACTCCTCTCCCAGCCCTTGGGACAGACCTCACTTCTGTGGTCAGTCCTTGCTGAAAGCATCTCAGGCAGCACCTAGGAATGGAAGCCCTCCATGCCCTGTGCAAACTCCCTAAGAATAAGGGGATTCCTCTGAGTGGTCATGGGTGGCCCAGGAGGACAGAGTGGCAGGGTGAGACCCCCCATCCCCACGCCCTTTCTCTTACCTAACTGGGATCTACCCCAGGATATGTGAGGAGGTGACCCTTCTTGTAGCCTCTAGCCCCGTCACCCAATTTTCCACAGCCCTTCTCCAGGGCCAGGTCCCTCATGTATCTCTTCACCAGGCCCCTAAGGGTCGAGCCCTCCTCTTGGCATCTCCTTCCCAGACCTCTGCATGACCTGCCCATCCCATCGCACCCCAGGCTGGCTGCAGCTTGCATCCCTCAGCCAGGTGGGCAACCTTCCATCCTACTAAAGGCCCTACGTTCGGGAAGAAGGAACCCCAACAAGGATGCAGGCACCACGGTGGCTGGGAAGAGCAATGCAGCCACAGCATCCCCCCCATGGGCCTGGTCAGGGAGGGGCCAGTTTGGGTGAGCCCCTCTGACCTCTGCCCTCTTGGCTCTCTTGCAGCACAGAGCCCCACGGCCGCGGACCCCCTGCAGCAGGCCTACGCTGGAGTGCAGCAGTATGCAGGTCGTTAGTATCCTCGCGTCCCACTACTTTCCCCCAGTGGCATTCATCTCCCGACAATGTGATGCCTGGCTGATGCCCCTTTCCATCCCAGGCCTGGTCCCGGCACCGGGTGGGGGAGAAGGAAAGGGAGGGAGTGGCAGGGAGTTTTGGTGGAAGGAGGACTGTGCAGGCGGAGCCCCCACCCACCCCTCCCTCTCTGCAGGCCCCGGAGGCTTTGGGCAGCTTCCTCATGGCCAGGTGCCCTTCCAGCGGTGGGTGATCAGAACTGCAGCCAAGTGGGTGAGCCAGGCTGAAGCTTTGACTTTGCTGTGCAGTTATTCCTCTTTGAGGCCAGAGTTTCCTCCCATGTGGTGCTGCCAGGGCCAGTCTGTCCAGGAGCGCCAAGCCAGGCAGCAGCCCTGGGGTGAGGCTGGAACGGAGGTGCAGCCACCACAGTCCACAGTCCCAGGCCTGGGAAGGGTAGCTGCCTGGGTTTGAGGGAAGGAGAGGCCCTGGAAAAGAAACAGTTCCTCCTCCCTTCCCCCAGCCATACACAGGTAGCAGGAGTGGAGTGCAACCAGGCGTGACAGGGACAAGGGAGGCAGCCAGAGGTAGGAAAAAGGAGACGAGAAGAGACAGCCCTGGGGCAAGCAGAGGGCACCAGGCCACTGAGAGGGAGGGTGATGAGCCACTGTAGGAAGCACAGGGCAAGCTGTCATCCATGCTTCTCTCCCTTCAGCCCCTGGGCTAGGACACACACACCGCTGTGCTCTCACCCCACACTACCCCTGTAATCATCCCTGCCCAGCCCCTGTCCTGCTATCTGGCTCAGGAAGAGCCAGCGATGATTCCCCTGAGGGCAGTGGGGCTGCCTGGCTATGTGGGGACTCCAGTGAAGCTCATATCTAGAGCCCAGAGGAAGCTCCCTCACCTGCTAGAATCTCTGAGCTCCGAGCTCAGGTCCTATCCCTGTGGGAGTGAGGCCAGGCTGAGGAGGGGGCTGGCCATTCCTGTCTCACCTGTGACCCTTTCTAGTTGAGTAAAGAAAGCATCAGAGCTGTCCAACTCAGCCCTCTGTCCCTGGGGACCATGCCTGGCAGGATCCCAGAGACCAAGCTCATACTTAGGATGGCTCCCCACCTCCTGCACAGGCAACATCTGAGTGGGAATGAGGTGATGTGAGCCAGAGTCAGCTGCCACTTGGAGAGTTGGGAAACCTTGTGGGTTCAGGTAGCGTGGGGAGATCTTGTCTGGGCATTCTTATGTTTTTGACCATCCATTATTGTGGATTATCCACACATGGATTGACCATTGTTCCAGATTAAACGTGCCACACCCTGCGCACTCGTGCAACGTGCACATACTCATACAGTTTCTTCGCTGTGCTGCTTCTCCTTCATTACTACTGAAAGCTGGCTTTGTCTCAGGTGGCTAAGCGGAAGCACACTTGGGGCTCGTCTCTCTTACTGCTAAGTACTGACATTTCTCTCTTTCTTCCTGCCTCACCCTGTCTCTCTCCTTGTTATTGTCGCCGTCTCTTGCTCTTGCCTCTTCTCTTTGGCCCTCCAGCAGCTGCCTACCCTGCTGCCTATGGTCAGATAAGCCAGGCCTTTCCTCAGCCACCTCCAATGATCCCCCAGCAACAGAGAGAAGGTGAGTTTTCAAGCTGCGGCTCCTAGGCTCCTCCCTGCTCCCTTCTCTCCCCAAAGAGGCTGCTCACCTGGGCCTTTGGCTGGGGTGTACCTGCCAAAGGTGAGAAAGGTGACCATAGCCCTGCGTTGTGTTGAAGAGGGTGAGGGAAGACAGGATTGTGAGATGCGGGGCCCTCCAACCCAAGCACAGAAGTGGGCTTTTCACGTGCAGCTCTGCAAACCTAAGTAGTGGAGGGTGAAGAAGACAGGCCCTTGGAGGGGTGGTCTGAGACTCCTGCCCCCAGGATTTTGCCAGTGGAGAGGAAAGAGGAAGGGGAAAAATAAGAATGCTCATATGCTCATGGCTGATGTGGGGGAGGTGAGTAGGGAGACCTGTTGATCATAGACAGGAGATGCTGTCTCCACTGGGTGACGAGGAGAGTCAGCCGGAGCTCCCAAGGCAGAGCTCAGTGGGCAGGTGAGGCCATGGGAACTCCCAGTGCAGCCTTGTGGAAGAAAGGGCTCCCGAAAAGCCACATCCAGAGGCCCTGGTGTGCATAGGGCAGAACAGGAAAGGCCAGGAGGCTGGCATCTCATAAGGACTCTTGGTGTCATCCCATTCCAGATCCTGGAGAGCCACAGGAGGCTGGGCAGAGAAGCCCATCCTCGGGAATCCCTGGGGCCTGCCCACAGAGAGCTCAGTGTGAGGGGACAGGAACGCTAACCGGGTTCTATCTCTGACCCCCCGAAAAGGGCCACCTGCCAGGGAGGACACCATGTCTGCCCTAGGAGCTCGCATGGCCAGAGGGTTCCAGTGGTTTCCAGATGGCTGCTCATAGTCCCTGAAGTGATGATCATTCACTACAGGGGTATGAGGATCAAACTAGCTCAGGTCTGCCTCTGAACTCCAGCAAGTGCCTGTGCATCACTTGCTGTGCATGCACTTCTTCCTTCCTCAAATCGTCACCCCTCCAACACTGTACATAAGGCATATCATGCCAGTGTCCATGCATTGCGCAGCTCCTGAGATCTGTGTCATCATCTCCCCGTGCTCAGGAGGGCCAAGCTACAGGACGCCAAAGGAGTGTACAGTGGGGCCCTTGCCCACACCCTGTAGTCACACCCTGCTGTAGCTCTGAGTGGCACCAGCACCCACCATCGGTGAAGTTGGGGTGGGGGTGGTCCAACAGCCATGGCTCCCAGTGGTTCCCTCACTGGGTGGTGGCCCTAGAGCCTGTCCTCCTCAGTGCACACCTTCCAGCACCACATCAATCAGACCTGAGCCATAAGAGATGGAGCCCAGGAGTCCCAGGGTTGCCCCCTGCAGGCCCAGAGCAGAGCTATGCCCACAGATTGTGATGCTTTTGTCATCCCTCTGGCCTTAGGCCGACCTCCCCATGTTCCCTCACCCTGGAGTCAGCACCCTGCATCATTCTGGCCTATGAACTCAGATCTCTAAACCATGCTATGTGCACGTGCATGCACACACACACACACACACATACACACACACGTGCTGCAGGTCAGTGCTGCTCTGACCAACACCAATGGTGATAGCCACTACCAATGGCCTTAATCTCAGGCCTTCTCCTGCTCCCTGCCCCACCTCACACTGCACTACCCCATGTCTAGCCTTGAGCTCCTTCTCATACCTTCTCTGTATCTGTGAGCAGTTTCAGTTCCTCCTACTCCTGTGTCCCTCTCCGCAGACCAGAACTTGTGTGGCCAGTCTCTGATCTAGCCTCCCCTTGGGTAGGGGATCTCCCACTATTGTCCCCATTCTCCCTAACTGCAGAGCACAGGATGAGCCACCATGGGGGAGCAGGGGATGGGGAGGGGTGAGATGTGAACCCAGATGCCTGCGGAACCACCCTGCATGCAAGGGTGAGCTCATGGCTCTGGAAGTGGGGTTGTTATGGAAGGCTTCCAGGGCCTGGAAGGATGAAGTCTTCAGCACACAGTGATGGGGAGAGAGATGGACATTCGAGGCAGGGAGAACAGCAGGAACAAAGCATGGGTGCTGCACACTAGGAGGTGAGCCTGGGGACAGCGAGACAGGCTGAAGGTGGGCTGGAGCCAGACTGCAGCCATGTCCACAGTATTGCAAGAGGCAAGGATGAGAAAGGAGGCTGTGTTCCTCCAGCCATGCCAGTAGTCAGCTCTTTCCATCATGGTTACCTCACTACCATGTAATGCTATTCAAATACCAGGACACACTCTTTGCTCCAAAACTGGATTATCTGGAAGCCACCAGTCCCAGAGAACCACCATGGTTCCTTGTCTCTGAGCTGAGCCTGAAAACCAACAGGTGTCTGAATCTGCCAAGGCTGTCTGCCCCACAGGAGGGGCCAGCTACCCTCAGGGGCACTCCAGGCCTGGCTCTGCCGGGGCCACAGTGTGGTCAGCACTGTCGCTTTCCGATGCTGGAGCTCTGCCTCACCATTTCTCAGAAGGCTGGGTTGGACCAGACTGCTCTCCAAAGTCCTGTCACTTGTGCTATATAGACGCTCTGTAACCTGTGAATGGGGGAATGCAGTGAGGGCTTGGGTAGCCAGAGTAAGACAATGTGTCGGGGCAGGGGGCCAGGCTAGGGCCAGGAGGGCTAACCCCATGGGGCTCAGCCACACATGCTGAGATGTGGGCCCTGCCTTCAGAGGCTCCTTGTCTCTTTAAGGAGAATAGATATAATATCTACATAAAGCAGCTTGTAGAACTTGAACCTGCATCAAGGTCCCAAGTTCAAAGCAGTCCAGGGAGGGGAGGCCAGAGGCTGGGGTGGACAGATGGGGCTGGGTGGGGACTGAACAGTGAGGGGGCAGCAGCTCAGAGGGCGGTCAGCAGTCAGAGGAGTCTTTGGAGGGAGGAAGGAGGAGGGAGAGGGGAGAGGAGAGGAAGAATGGAGTAAGTGGGACGTGTAAGGGAAGCCCTGGAGAATGAGGATGAGAGGGGGAGGGAAGGCAAGTGCTGGGCTGGTGGGCTGGGGAGGACAGGACAGAAGGCTAATGCAGCTGCCCCTAGAGGGAAGTCCATTTGGCTGGAGAGAAAACCTCCCATACACAAAGGAGGAAGAGTCTCAGGTCACAGCCTGTGGAGTATGGACTCAGAGAGTACCGGAAAAGGGAGTGTGTGGGGAGTATCTGCCCAGGGTGGGGGTGGGGGGTCCTGGAGGAGGTGTGGCTTAGGTTAGCCTTCAAGCTGGTTCCTGCCCAAAGGCTCGTCTAGCTGCGGGACCATCAAGGGACACACTGAAGAGCAGGAACCAGCGAGAACATGGCATGATGGGAGGGGACATGGTAAGGGGAGGGCCACAGAGCCTGGGGGATCCAGTGCCTGGGACCTCAGAAGTGGGACTTGCGCTGCTTCTGAATGTGCCGTCAGCTAGCAGCTTGTCTGGGAGACAGCAGTCTGGGAGGGGAAGCCAGAGGCTGGGGGTGGACAGATGGGGCTGGGTGGGGACTGAACACTGAGGGGGGCAGCAGCCCAGAGGGCGGTCAGCGGTCAGAGGAGTCTTTGGAGGGGGAAGGAGGAGAGAGGGGGGAGTGGAGAGGGAGAAGAGAAGGGCAGAGAGACTCCAGAGGGAGCTCTTTGCTCCAAAACTGGATTATCTGGAAGCCACCAGACCCAGAGAACCACCACGGTTGGTCCTGACCAGGAAAGCAACATAACAGCCCTCAGTGCTGCCCTACAGCCTTTACTCTCCAGCTCACGTGTCGTTTCCACCCGCATCTGGTCAGAACCTGGGTTCTTACACAGCTCTGACAAATGCAGCTGTTTTTCTTTGATGTCCTCCATAGGTTGGAAACCATTCTTGAAATAACCACATTTTAAAAGGTTAAATAGTATGTGGCATGCTCTTTCAGATGGCAGGAAATAGACGAAGCATCTTGGAAAGATTTCCATTTCAAAGGGTTAAAGTTGAGCATTTTGGTCATTAAAAAAGAAAAATATAAATCTTTAGCTATCTGGAAATTTCAGAAACCCAAAGGCCTCTGCAGTGTTAAGGGCTTCTGGGGCACTGAGATTTATGATAGGTAGAGAGAGAGAAAAGCTCAGACCATGGAGACAGATGGTCTGGGTCCATGTCCTGGCTCTACCCCTTACTAGCTGTGTGACTTTTGGTGGATGACTTAACCTCTCTGGGCCTCAGTTTCCTCATCTGTGAAGTGGAGGTGACAATAATACCTGCCTCACAGGACTGCTGTAAAGATTAAGTGACTTAACATAAAATAACATGTGCTTAGAAGAACATGAAAGGAAGTTCATGCTATAGAACTCACAAGGCTGCTATTGTATTGAAATGGGAGCCTTTCATGTAATGAGGTTTGTGGGAACCCTGGTGAATTGGGAAACCTTGCTGTGAAGCCCCACCTGTGCACCTAGCCTGCTGGAGGAGGCAGGATAAATCCTGATTTCTGTACTCAAAACCAGGGCTGATTTTGAGGTTTGGGTCAGGGGAAGGTGGGACCATTGGGAACCAGTGACTGCAGGCCAGGGAGGAAGCCGGCCGGGACCTCTATGGGAGGTGAAGGGAAGCTTCTCACCAGGCACCACCCCCAGGTGCCTCCCTCCTTCCCCTGCTGAGCAGGGGCTGGGCCAGAGGGGGCCCATAGGCCCTCCCTACCCTTGCCCCGCCTCAGCACCTCATTTCCATGGCATCAGGCCTTGACACATTCACCCCATTCACTTGCTGACTCCGACCCTGGAGCCCCAGAGTTGCCAGGCACCCTGTTATGGATCCATTTTGCAGACAAGGTGACTGAGGCAGAGGTTCAGTGACTCGTCCAAGGGCAGGGCGGAGACCAGAGCTCAGACTGGGTGCTTAGCTCCCTCCCACTCTTCCGTGGTCATCCTTGGATCTTGGATGAGACCCCCACTCCTAACCTCGCCCCACCCCTCCCTGCTGCCGCTGCCTAACTCGCTCACCTCTCCTCTGTCTCTCTCTTCCCCCACCCCGCCATCCCTCCTTCCCCGCCCGCCCCCACCCCTCACCGCAGGGCCCGAGGGCTGTAACCTGTTCATCTACCATCTGCCCCAGGAGTTTGGGGACGCTGAGCTGATGCAGATGTTCCTCCCTTTCGGTAATGTCATCTCCTCGAAAGTGTTTGTGGATCGGGCGACTAACCAAAGTAAATGCTTTGGTGGGTAAAGATAACAAACCAACTAGCTTCACCTAGGACAGGGTGGTGCTTGCACCAATTTACCGGTGTCCAACTGCTTTTAACCTGCTCCTTAACATCGCCCCCTCCCCTGCCCCACGTACTCCCACAGACCAGCCTCCAACCTCCATCTGTCCCCCCTCTTCTCTTTTCCACTGTTCTTTTGGCTTTTTGGCTTTCCCTGCCCACCCCTGCCTGCCTCCTGATCTCCCCCATCCCAGTCCAAGAGATAGGTTCCCCTCCCAGCTAAAGGCCCAATTCCCACAGCTGAGAAAGGGAAGGAGCCACCATGGGCAGGGGGTTGGGGGCATCGAGCACACCCCAGCAGCACCATTCCCCCAGCAGCCCCTTCTGCACACAGAATGGCCCTGGGGTGAGAGCCAAGGATGATCATCAGGGTGGGATCTGCCCAGCTGATGCCCTACTCTGCCTGCCCCTTGGCCTCCTCTGACCACCTCTCTGCCCTGCCCCCTTTCTCTGTCTGCTCCGCTCTTTGCTCCCCTCCCGCCATCCAGTGAGCCCTCCTTCCCCCACCCACCCCCCGCAGGCCACCAGAGCTGCATTGTTGAGTAAGGTAGAGCAAACTGGTCCATGCCCTCAGGAAGCCTCAGGTCTGAGCTTAGATGAAATCATACCTACTCAACCGCAAGGCACCAAGTAATGGCATCGTTAAGGCATGAGAAAGGCAGGTGGATGCAAACAGGCATGAAGAAAGGGGAGGGAATTCCAGGCAAGGAGATTAGAATGGACAAGGGCACCTGAGCCGGGATGAGAAGAGGCAAAGGACAGAGAATGGGAAGCAGGAGGCTGTGGGAGAAAGCAGTCAGGGGAGACCAACTGTGAGGGAGGGTCTGTGCTGAGGAGGGCTTTGGTCATCAGCCGAGGATGCCTCCTGTGGTGTGGTCAGCAGTGAAGGATGGTGGGAGGTCCTCGAGCTGAGTGAGAGTCATAGAATGAAAATAGGACTTTTAGGAAATTTACCTGGTGGCAGTGTGTTAGGTGGGAGAGGGAATGTGGGAGAATCCAGGAGTATGGTTATCAGAGAAAATACAGGATGCCCGGTTCAGTTGGAATTTCAGATAACAGATAGATTTCAGTAAAAGTATATTTGCAGTATTATAGACAGTATGCTCCATGCAGTATTGGGGATATACTTATACTAAAAATGTATTCATAATTTATCTGAAAATTCAGTTTAACTGGGCATCCTATGTTTTGATTTGCTACACACCTCCTGGAATCCCAGTTCATCCCCATACCTCTCCCTCCACTGTTTCTTAGCACCTTTCCTACCTCCTCTCCTGTCCCCCTCTGCCCTTCCTTCTGGGGCCAGAAGGAAGTCCCCACTCATGAGTCCCCAAGGAATAAGGAGTGGGGCTCAGAGCCACACATGGTGCCAGGGCTGAGTCTGCCAGGAGCTCAGGTATCTCTAGTTTGAGCTCCAGATTTTGGGTCTGGGAGGACAGAGTAGGAGCCTACATTGGCTAAGGAGCAGGTTACCGCTCAGGGCTTGACACAAGGCTGTGGCAGCGTCAGGAAGCACACGTTAAGGAGATTCCCGCTTGGAAACCAACTTTCAAGAATCTTGAAAGGCTTGAAGTTTTAAAGCATGTTTCCTCATAGCAGTCAAGATCTTTGCACCATTGTCCATTCCCCTCAGGCAGCTGTCACGGGAACTTTGTGGTACTTCAGTGGCACAGAGGTGGTCCAATAGCTCATTTCTCTTTGGGTATGAGAAAGCAAAGCAAAGAAAAAGGCAAGATTCCACTCTTCCTCTGTTGGACCTATATTTCTCCTGACAAATTACAGTTCCATGTAATTTGCACTTCAAATAATCCTCAGGTGCTACATAAATTAGAAGAAAACTGGTAGGAGCCCACAACACACTGGGCGCCTGGGCTAGCGAACGTGGTCTGCAGCCACATCTCCAAGCGTTCATGCTGTCCCTGGCCGGTTTTTCAGAGGCATTTCCTTAAAGTCTGCCCCAAACACTGCCCTCAGCATTAGAACACTGAAATTCTCCAGGACCAAGGTTTTTGCCTGCTTTTTCTGGAAATCATCTTCTGTGTACCTCTACTCTGGCTCTTTCCTCTCTTCAGGAACAAACTTTTAGTGCTAAGTATCTATCAGCCTTGGAAACGGATAAGCACCCACCAGGCTGGCCTGGCCCAGTGGTTTCTCCTTAAGCCTCCTGAGTGCTCTCTCTTGCCGTGGCATCTGAGCCTTCTGCAGCTCTCCCAGAGGCCTAAAGCCTGGGAATGAGCTCCAGCACTCCCTCATAGGCAGATCAGTTAGCTCTCTGAACTCAGTGTCTTCATTTGTGAAATGGGGACTCTGGCGATCATCCCTCAAGGGTTTGTGAGGACTACATGGATGTGGTATGTGAGGGGCTTGGCCAGAGTGGACCCTCAGGCCAGAGCCCCCTTTCTTCTCAAAAGGAGGGGCTGTTTTTGCCATAAACGTGGTCGTATGTTAAAATGCACCCTTCAGAGGCTCCACTCATTCTTAAAAGCATTAACAGAATCTTCCTGACCTTTGTGAGCTTCTGTGCAGACCAATGGTAGGCTGCATTGAGAGATGGGCTGGAGGATGCCAGGAGAGCTTTTCTCATGCTTTCCTAGGGCTTGGGGGGTGGGGGAGTTTGGAGAGAGGGCTCTGGGAGAAGGGAGACAGTCCTGGAATGAAAACATGGGAGATGAGGTAAGACCCCTGCCCTCTGGGTCCCTGTTCAGCAGGAGAGACACTCCCTGCCCCAACTGCTAGTCAGCCAACAAAACTAGTAGAGAAAGAAAAGTACACTTGAACCTGGAATCCTTCCCGACTCCCGGGCTTCCAGAGACTCTGAACTCTCCCATAAGGGCTGAACTCTTCCCTACAGGACCTCTTCTCCCCTCTTGCCCCACTTGCAGTTCCTCCCTTTACAGATCTGCTCCAGACAGTCTCCTCCCTGATTTGCTCACATTTGTTTCCTGCAAAAAGAGCCACTAGGTGGAGCTGGCTGGTTGAGAGGTAGTGTAGGAACTGGTGGTGCTGGTGGGCCAGTGGAGGAGGGAGGGGGTGTAGCCTGTCACCCCCAGTTAGGCTATCTTGTGCAGGCAGGGAAAGAGGCATTAGTTCCACCACCCTCCTAAATCTGGGGGAGAGTTGTGTAGCAGACTTACAGTTCACATATTTACAAACTGTTCTGCTCTGCTAAGACTTGACTAGTCATCATCAGGCAGAGGTTGGTGGGGTGGAGGAGGGGCCAGGAAGGGATGAGACAAGGAGGTGGAAGGGTGACTCATGCTAATCTCCGAACTCTGGATAACCCTAAGTCTTCCCTATTTTGGCATATAGATTTATACAGATGTTGGTTATGTTGCTTTAGGCCCTGTTCTGACCAATCCTGCCGGAGCTCCCATGCACACACTCCAGTACACTCACGGACACACAACCCTCCCTCATCTTTGATGGCCTGTAGATACCTGATGGAGGCAGTGTCTGGGGAGGAAGTAAAAACAGAGCTACTATGGGGGAGAGTGAGGGAGGGTCACAGGCAGGCCTAAGGTACCATGGACAATTAATCGAGAAAACAGCTTCTAGTTCAATGGGGTCTGTACATCTATCCCTTATAAATCTAGTGGCCATTTGAGGAAAGCACCCCAAATGAGGCACGTTTGCAGGATGGCCTGGGAATCTTGTCAATCTTAGTTTCATATAGTTCGTGGGACTGAAGTCAATTTTACAGGAGAAAAGGCCTTTAAAGTCAAGTAAATTCCAAGAAATACCAGGTTAAACAAATTCATTGGAGAACTTGGGATAGGAGGGGATGTTTTTATTTATTAATGTGCTTTGAACTGTCCCAGGACACCTGGCTATAAACCTACTTGACCACAGAAGCTCCTTTCTCAAGGAGCACCTATTAGAACCAGTTTAAGAAATGCTGATGTAAAGTGTGGCCTCTATAAGGCAATCCATTCAAAGTTCCCAAAGGGTGACTTTTCAGCTCAGTTTAAAAATCTGATACATCTTCAACTAAGAACTGCTTGTTTCAGTAGGTGACTGGGGAGCCATAGATGGTTCCATATTTTGTCCTAGGATGTTGGGAGGCAGGAACGTGTGAAAGGCACTTCTCCAGGCCCTGGTACACAGAGAAGGCTCTCAACTAATTTTTACTAATGGTGTTAATTTGTACTACTATTATAGATACCATTTTGGGTTCATAGGACATTGATCAAAAATTGGGGCGTGCTTAGTACAGGGCAAGAGCACCTGCTCCGAAGGCTTGAAGTTTTACCAAATAAAAGGGAGATGACCGCAGCCCCTCGGTGTGAGGTGGCGGGTTAATGCCAGGTGGTCTGAATTTGCCCCTGTGAACACTAGGAGCCTGGCGGGGGGCAGCCTTGCCAGGAACTGGAGGGGGCGGAGGGGCCGCGAGGACCGTCAGCCTCTGCCCTCCCGCGCAGCAGCCGCACTCGCGAGGGGGGCGGCCGGAAATGGCCGTGACGTTTTCTTCGTGGGGCCTCCCCTCCCTCCCCCTCGCACTCCTCTCTCTCCCCAGGCCGGCACCCTGTGCCCTCCCGCTGCCAGGCCCCCTCCTGTCAGGGAGGACAGTGTCCAATAAACTCCTCCACCCGCAGGTGTGTCCGCCCTCCGGAAGGAGAGGGCTGAGGTGCCGGGCCGGCCGGGGTGGGGGGCGGGCGCCCCTCCGAGCCCCGCTGAGCCGCGGGCGCCCAGAGCTGAGGTGGAGCCGGGGGCCGGCCGGGCCACGCAGGTCGGCGAGGCCGGGAGCTCCGGAACGCCCATCCGGGAGGGGCCCCGGCTCGCAGGCTTTGGGGGGCGCGAGGCCGGGCCGGGGGCGGGGCCCCGAGGGGGGAGGAGCCTCGAGGCCCGCCCCCGGCCCGGAGGCGCTCCCTAGGCCCCGACCTTGTCCCCACTCACCCTCCCGGCCCGGGCGGCCCCGTGGAAACCCAGGCCCTCGTCCCTCGTGTCTCTCCAGGCTTCGTGAGCTTCGACAACCCAGCCAGCGCGCAGACCGCCATCCAGGCCATGAACGGCTTCCAGATCGGCATGAAGAGGCTCAAGGTGCAGCTGAAGAGGCCCAAAGACGCCAATCGCCCGTACTGAGCGCCGGCGGGAGCGTCCCCCGGGGGAGACCAGGACTCGCACAGGTAACCGCGGTTGGCCGGGGCTCGGGGACGGGGGCTGGGGAGGGGACACCGGACGGACCCGCCGCCTCCTCTGGCCTCCGTGGGCTGGACCCTCGCTTGTGCCTTGGACCCGCTGCGCCCGGCTCGACCTGCTCTCCGCCTGGTGCCTACGGGGCAGGCGCGGAGCTCTGGTCTTCCCGGCAGGAAGGGGCGTGGCCGTTCCCCGGCCTGGGAGCCGGGAGGGGCAGGCGTGAGGGAATCGTGCTGAGGAGGTGGGTGAGCCCTCGGTCTGTAGCCTCCAGGTCTGCATTGACAATTCTGTTTGCCGGAAAACCCTGGGGTGAGCAGGTGGCAAACTCAGGCCTGGGGAAGTTTGGGCGTGGAAGAGACTCTATGGGAGAAGCACCCTCTCCTGGGACCTTCCCCCAGACTCCCTGGCTCTCCTCTCCTCAGCCCTTCAGCCTGGAGGGCTGGTGGCCTTAAGACCCTTGACCCCTCACTCCTCCAAGTCCCTATAGCTCAGTCTGGAGAGGAGGACAGGACTTTTCAAAGGGAACTGTACCATAAAGCAAAAGGGGTGGGACAGAAACTGAGGAGGGTGATGCTGGAGGACTAGGGTCACTTACTGTCTATCTTACAGAGGCCATGATGAGTGGGAAATTGTCACCTTTTCCTGCCCGGTCTGGGTCCTACCTTACAGCTGGAGACACTGTCTGCCACTCTTTCAGGCCACATTCCCCTGGGCTAAGCAGCTTCCTGGGGAAGGTGGAGTGGGGTGATGTATCAGGCCCTCCTCAGAAGTCTCCCTTCAGCCTGGTTTCCCCATTGCTGTGTGCTCCTGAAGGCCCAGCTCTTTCACCGGCCAGAGGCAGCCCACCCAGGCCTCTGCTTCTTCAGTCCGTCAGCAGGACTGTGTGCCTGGCACTGTCAGGTACTGGGGGATCAGCGCTGAGTAAGACTGAAAAGAGCCCTTGTCCTTAGCAGGGGAGACAGACAATCAACAATGACATGTGAGCAAAGGGTAAAGTACATAGTGTGTCAGGATTGTTGGTTACAGTTAGATCAGACAGTCAGGGTAGGCCTTGTTGAGAAAGTGATATGTGAGCAAAGACTTGAAGGTGAGGCAGGGAGCCATGCCAGCGTCTGGAGGAATGTGTCCTCCCTCTGAGGAAACAGCCAGTGCAAAGGCTCAGGGTGAGGGCAGGGTGTGTGTCTGAGGAAAGCAGGAGGTCAAGGTGGCTGGAGGGGAGCAGGCAAGGGAGCTTGGTGGGAGAGGAGATCCCAGAGGTGAGGAGGGTCATCTTGTGTAGGACCTGCAGGCTACTGATGGACTTTGGCCCTGCCTCTGAAACGAGGGCCTGAGAGTCAGGAGCCATTGGAGAGTGGCACTGAGGAGAATGACATGATTAACTTGCATTTCAGTAGGATTGCTGGCTGCTGTGTTAATGGATTATAGGGCCCACAGCGAGGTCTAGTGCATGGACCACTCAGTCCAAGGGGACAGCAGTCAATACGGTGGGAAGAAGTTGAGTTCTAGACATATTTTGAAGGCAGAGATTCATTGTGAAGGTAGTGAATCAGAGGGGGTGTGGGGGAAAGAGGAGTCAAGGATGATGCCCAGCTTTTGGCCCAAGTGACAGGAAGAGCAGAGTCACTATGGCCCGAGATGAAGAAGAGTTGGGATAAAAATGAGGTATGTGAGGGGTAGACATTCAAGTGGAGGCTCAGAGTCTGGAGTTTCGGAGGGAGGTCTCCAATTTCCCAGTCTCCCCTCAGATCCCAGCACTCCCAGCAGAACACCCTTCATCCACCCAGGAGCAGTACCTCACCTTCTCAGGCAGAAGGTGCCTGAGCTTCTACTGTCTGTGAGGCTGGAAAAGCAAACCCACCTCTCTTCTCTCCTGATTCCCACCCCTGCCCATCTCTGCTGTGCATGAAGATGTGTATCCACGTGTTCAGATGGTGAGCATCATACCTTGCTGGGCACTCAGTGCTCAGGAAGAAAAGACGAATGGGTCCTTTCCTGCCTGTGTGGAGCTTCTGCCTCTGTGCACACACAGCCACTGGGAGGCAGCCAGCAGATGTTTCCATAGGAGAGGAGGGATGGTTAATGACAGCAGCCCTTTCTGCACATAGAACACTTTTTTTCCTTTAAGCTTAGCTCTGCCATTAAGGTATAACATGGGTCAAGATGCTTCCCCCTTGGGCTTTCATTTCTTCGTGAATGAAACCAAGGTGTGAGGGTCATCAGGGTTTTTAAGGAGGGGCATGTTCCAGGGTCATGCCTTGAGATCCTGAGGGGTCCTTTGGGTGCATTTTGTGGCTTCCCTGAAAGCAGCCTGTCTTAGCCTCCTACACCTCTATGCAACTAAAGCCCTAGCAAGGATAGAACCCCCAGGTCAGAGAAATGCCCCTATAAAAGGGTGAGGAAGGCAGATTTGTTATTTGGAGCATAAAGTAAAAATGTTCCTCAGGCAGAACCAGCTAGCAGTCGTCATTGCAGTGGGTGTTTGAGAGCCGTGGTTTAAACAGCATAGCAGGTTCTTCCAGCAGGGAATACAAAAGCCAGACAGTGAGGACACAGACTTTCACATGGTGCTTACCATGCATGGCACACAGTTCTTACAGGTCACAACTATAAGATATACCTGTGTAGCTGTAACTGTCTATGAGGTAGGTAGTGTTATTATGTCCATTTTACAGATGGGACACAGATTAAGTCACTTGCCCATCAGCTGTGGAGTGGTAGAGCCATGATTTGAAGCTAGGGTTGTGCTCTTAACCCCTTCAAGTTAGAAGCGTGACAAACCCCCACTGCTATCTTCACCCCAGCCCTTCCACCCGAGTGTTCTGAGGGGACAGGTCAGAAGGGACATGTCTCACTTTTCTGGGGTCAGCCATCTGACTACTTCCTCCCTACTAAAAAGTCTTCAAAAAAACTATGATCTGACACAACTCCTATGATACACTTGACCCTTAATCTAGACAGTATTTCAATAAATGGCGCTTTCAAGCTTTCCAATCAAAGACTACTAGAGGCTGTAACAGGAGATGCTAAGGTACAGAGCAGGCTTGAGAATTGCAGTGAGAAGTAGCCACTGTCAGGCTGCCAGCATGGGAGGAAACAATGTGCAAAAGGGCAGGGCTGGCCTGAGTAAAAGCTGAGGGACAAGTCATAGCTAAGAGCAAAGAGGTGAAAGGGAGGGGCATCTCAGGGCCAGGGCTGTGGCAGCTAAGGCCAAGTCAGACTGGGAATTGGCGAGGAGGGGCCTCTGCAGGGCAGCTGTGGGGAGCATGGTTGAGCTTTGGTTCCATACTGGGAGGCCCAGGTGGGGTGGCGAGGGGTGGCATCGGGTTGGTTCTCTGCATCCTGATGTGTGGCTCTCCTTCCTCATGGGTTCCTGGCTTCCCTGCTGCCCCTGCCCCTCTGGCTTCTTGTCTTCCTTATCTTGTACTAAGATGGACGTTTCTCTAAGAAATCTTTACCAGGAAACCAAGAGGAAGGAAACAAAGGCAGGTAGAGTGGGTAGAAATGTGGACATGGCCAGCAAGCAGAACACCCAAGTCTCTGTCCTACGCTGAGCTCACTGGCACGCGCTGGGTGCCAGGCCGAGGGTGGCTGTCCAGCACCGTGCTTCTGTGCTTGGAGAGGACGCCAAGAGTGTGTCGGACTCCAGTGGGGGCCTTGGCTCTTCCAGGCCCTGGGCTCTGCCCCCGAATGTGCTTTTGCACAGTGTCTGCTCCACCACCCTTTGTGGGCCTGGGTCCTTCGGGTCTAACCTGTATGAAGCTGGGCTGCGGCTTTGGGCCCCTGCCTTCTCTGGCTAAAGCCCAGATGTGTTTGCTACCTGGCATCTGAATTGGCTCAGCCTGACCATAATTTCCTCACCCAGGTCATGAGTTAGAGCTTCCCAGGCCTGGCGAGGCTCCCTGATTCTGGTCAGTGACTCTGCTGCCTCCTCCAGGGCTGTGCTCTGTGAGGCTCTTCCAGAGGGTGGCGGGCAAGGGGTCCCCCCTGCAGATGGAGGCACAGCTGGTCCCTAATGAAGAGAGTGGTCAGCTGTGCATGTGCTGAGTTCTGGGGGGCTCCTTAGGGGTTGAATGAGGGTGACTATGTTTGTGTTGGGGGCCAAGTGTGTGTGAGAGAAGACAGTGTGAATGTACAAGTTCCCTCAGTGGAGCTTTGAGGAGGGGCGGCACAGCATTTGGGCTTGACTCCCCCGTGCCCATGGCAGTACCAGGCCCTGAAGGCAGCTGGAGGAAAGCTGGGAGTGGGAGGAGTTGGCAGCTGTGAGGTAGGTGCTCAGGACTGGGGTCCCCAGGGGTCTAAAGGAATGGAGGAGGAGGAGGTGGGGCAGGGGAGGTCAGCAGAGCAAAGCGACAGCAGAGACTGGAGATCAGGGCCATCGCATGCCCTGGCGTCGTGAGCCCCGAAGCCTCCTCACTTTGGCTGCGTGGGCCACCTTGGGAGCATAGCAAAAGGTGTGAGGGGGCCGTGAAGTGACATCGGGAGAGTTAAGGCATGTTTACAGAATTCCTAGAACACTAATGTGATTTACCCTAAATCTCTAAACGTGTTCATATCCTGAAGGTTCTGAAGAAGGAGGGTTGAGGAGGAGTGGAAGGGAAGAGGACCATGTCATACAGTGGGGGCTCTTTCAGTGGAGACACCCCTCTCTGGGGATGGTGGCCGAGGTGGGACCTGAAGGGGTAGGAGACTGAGTTGCTGTTAGTGTGGACTTGCAGGAGGCATTTCATGGATGGACCTCAGGGGTACAACGGTCACCTTAGCCAGCCTCTGACCCTCCCAGCCTGACAGGCTCCTCCAGCTGGTCTGCAGGCTGAAGCCACAGAAGGCTGGGGAGGTGAGGAGAGCTGGCACTCGGGGAGGGAATCAAGGGTGATCAAAAGCAGAGCGCGTGCTCCCGGATCTGCCTGCCCGCCATGGTGGTTTGAGGGGCTGTTTTATTTTTTTCTGGCCCCCTTGCCAAACTGCCCACGCACCTCCCCCTCCTCTTCCCAACGCATGATGGATGCCCTTAGTGGCCCTGTGTAAGGTTCTGCTGCTGTTCACAGTGTATCACGTGTCTGTATAAACAACTGCGTGTGTGTGTGTGTGTGTGTGTGTGTGTGTGTGTATGTGTGTGTGCGTGCGCGCGCTGCTGTGCCCATGTTGTTGGTCTGCCAGCTTCCTCCATCCTTTGAGTTCTTTTCAGTTCTCTTATGATTTGACTGCTGTTCTCTCATCAGAGCTTTTAGATTGATGCTGTGGTCTGGTGCTGTATAAATATTTTTCCTTTTGATTTTGTTTTAACTTCTTCCTGCCCTTCTTCACCTTTAACCCAACTCTCCCTCCCTCCCACAGTCCTGACCCCACCTGACCTGCCCGCCTCTTCCTCCCCCTTCCCCACACTCTCTTGTCCTCTCTCTCTTTCTCTCTCTCTACATATATAAATATATATATATAAATCTTTTCTTCTTTTGTCATTCAATCAAATTCCAACAACCCAACCAGGGCCAGTCAAATCCACCACAGTCTCGCGCTGAGCTAGGAATAAAGTTCACGTAATCACATGAGAGTGGAGAAAACAGTCCCCCATCCGTAAGTTCAAATCAACTCAAAGTTCACAGTGTGACATGATGGCGTCATGTAACAAGGCTAAGAATCGGTTGCATGACAATTGCCGTCAAGTTTCGTGGAGGTGCTGTGATTGGAGCGTTTTCCTTGGATGTTGTATCAGTTGATGATTGGCCAGTCATGATCACACGTGCATTTTCTTGACTTTGTGCTGCCACAACCTTCTTTGCTGTGCTCATTTTTGTTTTGTTCTTGGTGCTTGCAGTGGTTTTACTTTCTGTTGTTTGGTTTTTCTTGTTCAGCGTTTTTTATGCTTCTCTAGATGTCACATAGAGAAAAAACAAAAGAACAAAAAAATTAGTAAAAATAAAGATGAATTCCTCAATTATTGAACATGGGATCATTTAACTGTGCAAACAATTATTTTTTTCTTAAAAATAAGGAAAACATCTTAAAAATATCTATGCGTGGTTGATTTACTTGCACTTGAAAATATTGTGATTTTATTTTTTTCTAGAAATTTGGGGGCCTTTTTCAATTGATGCTTTCCTAGGTCTGGTCTTTGTCCAGTTAGGCTATTTTAAATCTCACTTCAAAAGGAAAAACAAAAACCAAAAACAAAAACAAAATCTCTACTGTAACAGAATGATACAAAAAATTTCTGAACCAAAAAAACTAGAGTACAAAACAATGCCAGAGGCCTCTGAGAGAGAGCCCAGTAACAATTATAAGGTTTGTATTGTAACCACTACTGCTAAATTAAAAAATGTGGGGAGGGGAGGTGGGCGACTGGGGGTTTGGGAGGGCTTTTTGGTTGGTTTGGAAAAACAGTACTGACAAAAGCAAAATGCACCTTTTTGTTTACAACTGAAAAAGGGTCCTTGACAAGTGTTTTTTAATTTTATTATTATTTTATTTGGTGTTGTAATTGTTTAGACTGCTGTGTACGGTTTGCTGTTTGTTGAATCAACAGTGTGAAAAACCTGCCAGCATGGATTGATATACGCATGACGTTGTCCCCTCAACTGGGGGCTTTGCAGTTCTAACTTTCTTGATGTAACCAGTCACCCCCATGTATAAGTGGAAGCTGCTTGCTATAATGGAGATGAGTCTCATTTGTTAATTCACAATGATTAAGCATTTTCCTTCAGATTCTAGTCAGATCATGATTTCATGATATTTTTCTTAAAAGTAAAACAAAACATCAAAAAGCCACCAGTCAAAGCAAAATCGAGAACTGTTAATTTAAGTTTGATGATTAAATCCATTCTAACTTATTTTAGGTTCTGCCATCCACTCCCTCAAAGTTCTGAATTTCCTCTCTAAATTCCCTGGCATGTATGAGAAAAATATTACGTGTGTGTGTGTGTATATGTGCATATACACGCACACATATCCATGTATACCCACATATGTGCAGGTGAATATATTCTACACATATATCCAGATATACATATATATATACATAGCCTCGCAAATAGTTACAGACCTTGGGAAAGAAGCAGTTGGCTGGAAACTGGGCAAGGATTCTGCAGAATTCATGTCACGGATCTGTCTTCCTTCTTTTCCTCAAGCAGGGGAGGAGTGGGCTGGGCTGCTAGAGTTTTCTCTATCTTGTTTGCTAGGCTTCTGTATACATATTGTATCTGGGCTAGATCCTTCAGAGATCAGTTTAATTATGAATTCATGTCCCACAATCGCAAATTCTTCCCTTAGATCTAGCCATCCCCGAATCCAGAACTCTAAAGGAACCAAAATCAAGATCCCTCTCCAAACAGCTAAACCTCAGCTACAACCATTACCACTAGACCTCCCAGAGGTTTCTTACTCTGAAAGAAGAGTCAATTTCTTTTTTATGTATCATGATCATGACTAATTCTCATACTGGTCTCTTCCCTCCCTCCCACCACCCCCCAGAGCTCCCACCCTGACCCCTGAGGCAGGTCCCTTTTGGTGTTTGGATGCATTTTGTGTTTCCTCTCTAGGCTTAATCAGCCCTGATTTTTTCATTTTAGGGCAGGATGCTGAACGGGCTACATTAAAAAACAAACCTCTCTCTATATATATTTATAAATGAGAACTGTTGGATGACACCTTTGACATATCAGCCAATATCAATCAAGCTGAAGACTCCAGACACTCTCTGTGACTGTAACATTTCTTCAAGGAAAGTATAGCGTCTGTGGAGTTCAGAGGGCACGTGTTTGGGGGGAAAGTATATATGATATAAAAAGAAGATGACGATGAAGAAGAAAAATGAGAAAACACAAAAAAGGCAACTTTAAAACAAAATAACTTGAGACCAGATGGGGAGGCCAAAGGGCTGGGAGCTGGGAAGAGACGCTGCTTACCGATCCCAGGGCTTTTCCAGCCCGTGGGTGCCTGAGGCAGGCTGGGGCAAGCGGTGTGGCGAGGCCTGGTCCCCAGGGGGTGGCTGGGAAGCCGCCACTGAGCATCTCTATCTGTCATTCCTTTAGCTATTTAGGGACCAAAGGACCAAACTTTTTATGGCAGATGTGTAGCTCTGTCAAATAGAGGGGGATGGGGGAGAGCCTCCTTCCTGCCTCATAGCTGTTCTTGAAACAGCTTAGAGCGATTCTATGAAAAATGTAATTAAAAAAAAAATACAAAAAGACAAAAAAAAAAGAAAAGAAAAATAATGCTTCAATGCTTTTAAAACAGCAAGATAATAGTTCTTTGATACTTTGAGAGGCGCTTTGATTACCCTCATTCAAGTCTATGACACTTTCCTATGGTTTTCTGTATTATATGTCTGGATGGAGCTGTTAAGATGAACAAATTGGTGGATATTTGGGGGAAGTAACAAAAATATTAAAACATTAACCATGGAGTCTGAGAAAACGAGGGGAAAAAAGGGACTTACAAGGCAAGATAATTGTTGTGGAAAGTCTGTAAATGCTTCTAACTCTTCCCCCTCTTAAAATCATAATAGTTGTACAGAATTTTAAAAAGGAGAAGTTTAAAATACCTATATAATAGAAGAAAAATTAGAGGAAAGCAAAAAAATTTTAAAAAAAGGAAAAAAAAAACCCTATAGAAGTTAGCGTTACTGCTAAAATCCCAGATGTTGTAGGACTGTACTTTTGTAGAGTTTAGACTGAGCATCAATCCCTTCTTCCCGCGAGTGCTGTCGGGCGCCGTCGAGCCTGAGGGCCCGGCCGGACTGGCCCAGACCTGTGGGCTCCGGGCCGCCCATCGACGCCGCCGGAAGGCCCGCCATCGCCACCCTCGCCTCGCTTCGCTCCGGGAGCTGCGCGCGCTCGCCCGCCCGCTCTCCGCAAGCCCTTGACACCTGCTTCACTCGCCTTCCATGCTTGCTCCAGAGACTTTCCGGGCAAGGGAGACCTGGGAACTTTCATCTTAAAACAACTAAACAACACACACACACACACAAAAACCTTAAACAAGAAAGAGAGAGAGAGAAAAAAAAATCTTTGAAGAATTTCTGAAACTGTTTACAAGGAATTTTGAAAAACAGGGATGTTTAAATGATGCCGGCTCTGTTTTTCTGTAAATAAATTTGCATATTTTGTAGGACTTTTAATTGTAATGATAGAGAAAAAAACAAGGAAAACTATTTAATGAAAGCACGATATTTATCTTTGGTAAATGACTTTAGAGCAGTTAAAAAAGACATTGCTTAAAAAACTCAGAATCAGAAAAAAACACTGAATTATTTAAGAACACATATATTTTAAAGTATAACATATTTATTATAATTTATTTGCACCTTTGGGAAGACTTGCTTTGGCATTCTGCCTCGACACCCTCCTCTCATAAGACGTCCAGTTCATCTGGAGGCCAGGGGCTTCTAGGACCCACCATTCGTTTAACTTTTTGGCTTTAGAAGAACAACTGCCTGGTTCCTCTCAGGCCTCCCGCCTTTCCTTTCTTTCTATTTTGTTGGTTAATTATTATTTAAAACTTTTTCTTTTTCTCTTGGCTCCTTCTTTTAGGATGTCCAGATGTTGTAAAAAAAAAAAAAACAGCTGCAGTTCAGTACAACTGCTCTTTTCACACTCAACTCCCTAAAACTCCTTGTAACCTTCTGTAACTATTGGATGACGCTTTCTCCAGCTTAGCCCTAAATAAAGCACAGTTTAAAAAAAAAGGCTCTTTTTCAGTGGTCTGTGCTTCTCAGAATCTGCCAGCCCTGCCTCATGGCCCCAAGGCTGGCCCATTGGAATAGTGTTGGTCCTGCACTCCATGAAATCTGGGCTCTTTGGGCCCTCGTTTAGAGCCTAAACAGTGCAGAGCTCTCTGGGAGGTGATGGGAGCAATAAAAGGAGGTCCTGTCCCACACTAAGAAAAATCTCACCACCAGTATGTGTCTCTGAAAGTCTCCATTTGCAAACCGTTCTTTTGGTTCCTGGGCAAGGGTGGCCACAGTGTCCAAACATAGCAGAAAGTCTCCCTCTCTGGCAGGGAACCAGGGTCACCTGCCTTGAGTTGGGGTGGGGCGAAGTACTTCGAGGAACGGGGAGAGGAGGCAGGGGCCACAATAGAGGAGGAGGGAGGGGAACAAACCGAAACCCTGCCACCAAGCACTTTGCTCTTTGTGCTGCATTGGCTCTATAGTGACAGTTTGAATGGAGAAAACAGGATTCTGGGTGATGCCCTCAGGGTTAAGATTCTGCTGGGAGGAGTAGGGGAGAAGCTTCCTGGACTACTGTGCATTCCTCTATCGTGATGTAGGGCCACCCCAAATGCCAGAGGAAGTTCGAGAAGAAAGGTATTTTGTGTGTGTGTGTGTGTGTGTCGTGTCTTCAGGGAGGGGGTCCACAGGAGGCAGGGCATGAACCAGGACTCGGGGGAGGGGAGATGGGACGGAGCCAGCAGTTCTTCCTAAGGTGAGAGTGCAGACATGCACACTAGCCACAGTCCTTCACCAGGCTGTCCTGGGACAGACCTTTCTCTAGCCTGTCTGGCTCCCTCCTGCACCCCTCTGCCTGGCCCCCAGCCTTCATCTCTGCAGCCCAGTCTAGTAGTGGGCAGATTCCCACTGAGGGTCTGCATCTCCCTAATGTGAAGGGGATAGGAAGCTTCATGGTTTCAGATGCCTGGTCATGGAGAAGGCAAGAGTCCTGAAAGACAAGGGCCTTTGTGCCTTGCTGTGGGAAGTGGGGAGTGGCTTCTCTGAAGGGAGAGTGGTGGAGAGAAGAGCTCTGCCCTGGCGACTGAGCAACACCTGGACCCTGTTCCGTCTCTCCCCAGGGCAAGGGTCCAATTCCATGTTTCTGACACTAGCCTGTGCAATGTTAGCCTTTATGCATCAGGAAATGGGGCAGACCTTCACGCCTTGACTTAAATGTGGAGATGGGTCCAAGATGAGACCCTCATTGTCCCCTAAACTACCCACACTTCCCCTGCCCAGGTGAGCCAGGTGACAGCCTGCTCTGCCTGCCCCTGAAGAGCTTGTAGAGCTGTACTTCTTGGGAAAATCACTGCAATAAGCTGGGTGTTAGGCTTCCCTGTTAGGAATGGAAAAGTGTTTTCTAAGGAATTTCCTGGGTTTTGAGCCTTGGATTATTCAAAACCATGGTTTCTGTTGGACATTTGCAGCCAAAAGCCACTGAGTTGTCCAAAGAATGACAACTGCTGCAGCATTTCCTCCTTTCATTCTCTCAGGACCTAGGAGTCTGGCTGGCCTCCCCGAATGTCTCTTGCTTTGTGTCCACCTCCCTGCCGTGTACCCTTCTGTCTAGTACACACCTACACAGCTGTGGCTCTCAGGCCCTGGGCACTGTCCCCAGGGAGCTGGGCTCTGAAGCAAGGTGGCCAGTTTTGCTCTCTTGCAGGCATGGCTGACTGCGAGGAGAGATGAAAATACAGGGTCCAGATGCTAATGTGCCTATTCTAAAAAATAAAGCCTCTATTTAAAACCACACACGAGGTGATTAATGTATGCATAGTATATTTAAGAGAGAATACAATTTATTAACTCCTGGGAAGAAGTCATACATTCCTTGAAAACTATCAGGTTGCTTTGCACACGATTCCAGGGAGTTCAAAGCTCCTTGAGCTCATCCATCACCCCCTGATTAAGAACCCCTGGTTTGCAGTGTTATTTAAGAAAACTCTTATTAATTTCTGTTTCTAATCCATGACTTCTATTCCTCTGCTAGTATTCTACCTGAATTGTGGGATTACTTCATAGTCCCCTATTTCTAAGAGACTTTTTATCGATTATTACCAATCTTTTAAGTGTAATGCAAAATAGAAATACTTGCATCAAGAACCTCCATGTACACACCACGTAGTCGACATACATCAACTCACGAATTATTTTGACCCGAATCCCAGATATCAAGTCGTTTCATTTCCTCAGTTTCCTCTCAACGTTTTTGATGCTTCATTGATGTCTAAATGCTGCCTCTGGGCTGTTGGGTACCTGTCCCCTTGCTGTGGCAGTTGGAGGAACTTGTAGCCTCCTCCAGCCTTATCCAAGGGTGGGCACTAGCTCCTGGTGTAAGCCTCTGGCCTCCCTCCAGCCCTTGTTCTGCAGCACTTTCTTTTTTTCCTTTTTTTTAAGGTATCGTTGATGTACACTCTTATGAAGGTTTCACATGAAAAACAATGTGGTTACTACATTCACCCATATTATCAAGTCCCCCCATGCCCCACAGCAGTCACCGTCCATCAGTGTAGTGAGATACCACCGAGTCACTGTCTTCTCTGCCGCAGCACTTTCAAAGGACGTGCAGCTCCTCATCCATCTCTTTGTACTCATACCTGCTCTCTCACTTTCCTCTTTTCTTCTCTCCCTTCCGCCCTTCTTTCTGTGTGATGCTAATATGAAAAGAATATGTTTCCTGAGAACCTTCAGTTAATAGCTCCCATCTCCTGGGTTTTTATAAAAATCTGACATTTTTCCTATTCTGAGCTGGATCCCACACACTCCTGCACACACAACACCAGCACAGTGAGACACAGACACGCTGAGCTGCCCCACCCACAATGTGGGAGCCTGCAAGTCCTCCAGCTGCCTTCGAAGTTCTGCTGCCACTGGGCTGGGCAAACCTGCAGCTGTCCCTGGCACAGGGTCTCCAGGGCCAGTGTTTGAATTACACCCACTGGACCCAAATGAGCATTCCCCACCTGGGTAAAGTGTGTAAGGGATGTTGGGACAGAGAGGTCAGGGCCCCGTCCTACTCAAGGTGACAGACTTGACTGTGAAGGCCATTTTTTACCTCCCCAGATGGAATCCACCCCCAAATAAACATTATTGGCTACCACTGGTATCCCATCTTTGATAGACTATTGGCTCAGGGCAGTTGGATGTTCACTGACTGCATGAATGCAGTCAACTTCAGACAACTGAAGGCATGTTCCAAAGAGGGAGGTGTTATGGAAATGCTTTTTAAGTTATAACAACACATTTGGAATAAGCATATAGCCAACACTCCCCACCCTGCAGATGACTATTTGCAAGGAGAAGCTTCCTCTCCCTGCAGCCCCTCCCTCCCCCCTGCAAGCCTCACTTCAGTTACCTGCCACCCCCAGCCAGCATCAGTCTCTGGTCTTCAGCTCTCCCAGATGCCTGAGGCTGATGAGGTGGAGACTGGGCTGCAGCACCAGCCCCCAGGCCCTCCTTCCACCCCAGCTTTTCTTCCCTCATGCTAGCTAACTCCTTGTGTCTCCAGGGCACCTGGATAGCTCCATCTCCACATGCGCCCTTTATGGAGGTCTACCAAGGATTGGCCCAGACCTAGTGGATCAGAGTGACAAAGGCTCAGGTTTTGAGGGGTTCTGATAGAAATCCCAGCTCTCTCAACTTTCTTCTGTGTCACTTTAGAAAAGTTGCCTAAATTCTCTGGGCCTCAATTTCCTTATCTCTAAAATGAGCATAACACCTCCCACCAAGAGTTGTGAGGAGTAAATAAGAGACAGCCACACACAGGTACCTCCCACCCCAAGGATTCTGAGCCACACATTCTTCTATAGTGTAGCTACTCTGAATAGTTCAGGTTCTGATCCTCTTCTCCTCTCTCCTTAGTTCCATTCGCTTGACAATTCATGTCCCAACCTCAGCAAGACTGAACTCGACACCAGTCCACATTAAGCCCAGCTAGCCTGTGATTTCCCCTAGAGCATCCCCTCTTGTTGAGGTGTACACCTCTGTCTCTTACTGCTTGCGCCCTTTCCCAAAGACTCCAATTAGCGGATGCTCCTGCGCACTCTCCTCTCTGTACCCTTTCTTTTCCTAAGAGCATTCCGAATGTCACTGCAGCTGTTACTGTCTGCAGCCATCCTCCTCCTGGTTCATATAGCCTCAGGCTGAGTATTAATTTGGTCTTTGCATTTTAAAAATGCTATTTTTTTGAAAAAGTAACATATTTCAAAATTCAAAAAGTATGAAAAAGTGTACAATGAAGTCTTCTTTCCATTTCTGAATCCAGCTACCCATTTCAGCCAGTGTTATCAGTTGTTTTTGTTTACACTGTTTTAGTGTGTAGGTGTGGGGTGCACTGGTGTAAGGAACTCAGCCATCACCCTCATTTGCAGTGGGGAGGCTCACAGCCAGGGGGTGGCATCCCTGGGCTCCCACAGCTGGCCTCGTGGGAGTCCCATGAGATAAGCCCA